TTTTTAACAACCTTTTGATTGGCTGGTAAAAAATGTTGATTTGTTAGTCCCATTTTGATCACATGGAACGATGGATGCATATATTCAAGGACAGGATCCCATTCCATTGTTGCTGAATGGAATCTGATATATATATTTGTTGTTTTAACAACTTCAGTATATCTCTTGACAGCTTTCCTGATGTTGGCTGGAAGCTGAGCTATCTCCTTGAGATCTTTACTAGGATATATACAAAGTATATTTCCTATTTCAAAACAATTTCGAACCCAGTTGGCTGATGCTCTTGGATAAAAGTTTATCTTGTTGTATTTCGAATAGTGGAGAGTCTTCATCCACTTTCCAATCTCCAGATACCAATCTGATAAAATATTAAAAATAACAATAAAGAGTGTTACTTCTTCATGGTTATCTTTTTTGGACATTTTTGCATCATGACATATTTTGACAATATCTTTGGGGTCTATCCTTTTAATAGAAAGTTTAGATTGAGTTTGGCTCTGTGAAGAGCTACCTTCTCTTTTGATATCTTGAATATCTCTATTACCAGTAATAGGTTTAAGTATTCCCTGTGAAGGGGTTCCTATTACCTTCTTTTCTTTCCCTTTATCCTCGGGGAGAGCACTAGTATTCACAAGTCCCTGTGAAGGGATACTAGTCTTGGTACAAGAAACTTCTGCCTCATGGGCTAAATTCTTGCCTCAAAGGCTATCTTGGATATTTTGAATTTGGGTTTCCAAATAGGAAATTTTTATCTCAAGTATCTGGACTTTCGTCCTTAATTGTTCTAGCTCCATTCCTGCTAAGATAATCGGGAAGAAAGTTAACTTTTCCTTTAATATATTCAATATCAAATTTGAAATATGAAAACCAAATTTGTATTCTAATAATATATCTATTAGTCACAGATGGATCAACATTATTTTTCAAAAATGCTTTAACTTGAGTATTATTAGTTCTAATCAAGAACTTTTTTGGTAATAAATAATCTTCATATTTCTGAACTCCTCTTTTTACAGCAATGAGTTCTTTTCTATTCGTCTCATATCTTGTTTCAACTTCTTTGAATGTCCCTAATGTATAACCTGCAAGTATCTCAGGACAAGAACAATCTTTTTCACATTTATATTCTTTATGATTCTTTTTAACTTTTAGCACTGCTCTCCAGTAGTAATCTGAAGCATCAGTTTCCAAGATAAAAAAATCATCTTCTTGGGGTATTACAAGTTTAGGCAGTACCTTTAATTCTTCTTTTACCTTTCTTATGTTTTCACAATCTTGCTCTTCTCAAGACCACATTATATTTTTTTTTAATTTTGGAAGAAAATAATTTTTCAATTTAGCACAATTTTCAATGAATCCTTCAGCATAATTTAATATACCGAGGAAGCTTTGTAATTGTTTTTTATCTTTGATTTCTTCAGGAAATTCTTGAAGCTTTTCTCCAATATGGGATTACAATTGCAATTCTCCTTCTTTTATAAATAATCCTAAGAATTCTATTTCTGTTTTAGCTATCTCAGCTTTCTTTTGAGAAAGTGTAATACCATGTTTTTTCATAATATAACAGAATTTCCCAAGGTGCTCAATATGTTCATCAATACTATTTGAATGAATAAGTAAATCATCTACATATGCAATACAAAAATGAGTAATTGGTTTAATTACCTCATCCATTCTTCTCTGAAATATCTGTGGTGCATTTTTCAACCCAAATGGCATTACATTCCATTCGTATTGTCCTAAAGGATTGGGGGTACTAAATGCAGTTAGTGGTTTACTTTCTTCTGTAAGCATGATTTGCCAAAACCCTAACTTACAATCAAATTTTGAAAATATCTTTTTGTTCTGTACTTGTTTAATAAGGGTATCCTTATTTGGCAAGTAGTATCCATCAAACTTGATAACTTCATTTAATTTTTTGTAGTTTATTACCATTCTGGCTTTTCCTCTTTTTATCTCACTGTGTTTTCTAACCATAAAGGATGGGCTGCTATGTGGGCTTTTACTTGGCCTAATCAATCTGGCTTCTAGCAATTCTTTTATCTGGTTTTTAAATTCTTTTTGATCATCAACACTATATTTCATAGGTTTGACCCTTACTATAGTATCTGGATTAGTTAATTCTATCTTTGCCTTTACTTTATCTGTATTCCATTTTTTTAATGGATTTTCAGAATATGTTTCAGAGATTTCTTTTTTCAATTTTTCTAACCTATTTTCTGTTGTCATTTTTAATACTATGACTGGTTTAAATTTTTCTGTACTTCAACATCCACCACGCTGGGTTGAAGAACTCTGATATTTTATATCTCTATATGCAATTGTAACAGCTTTATTTATTTTTGGTGTAAATATTTTGTGTGCACAAGGTGTTGTGAACATATATTTATCAACATATTGTGTAAATGGCGCATATTTTAATAAGAAATTTTGTGGTTGACATATATATTATATCAACAAATACTTCTCTAAAAGAGATTAAAAAAGGTACTTGAGTAGCATACTTACTGTATATTACCTTATTTCCTCCTGCTGTTGTAGCAGTTATTACCTTCTTTGAATTATATTTCCAGTATTCAGATAGCAATACATTTGGTAAGCATAAACTTATTGTACTTCCTGTATCTAAATAAGCATGAAATTTAATTCTACAATAATTTTTTATATTGAGTGTAATTTCAATATATGGGCTCATGGGATTAGTACTTATTATTCTTTCCATGATAACAATGATTTCATATTTTCATCTATTCTTGGAGTGATAATTGGATTATCGTCAACTGTTATTTTCAAATATCCTTGGCAGATTTTATAAGGACTATATTTTTCAAGAAAGTTCATTCCTAGTAGAATAGGTGAACGATCTACTCCATATAATTCATCTTTATATAGAATTATTTCTTTAGTATATTTTTTCTGATCCTCTCCTACAAGTATAAGAGGAAATTTAACATATTTTCTTATTTCAAGATTATTTCCTAAATAATCCTTAAATATATATGGTTCTGATATCTCAAAGTCTATTAGATGATTAACAAACTTGGCATTTACATGACTTTTATCTGCTCCAGTATCTATAAGGACAAGAAGATTTTTCTTAAATCCTTCTTGGTTTACATTTTTTGTCTTAATGTAATATTGTGAACTTGATGGTTCAGCAATACTTAAATTTTTAAGTCTGCTTATCTTAGAGTCTTGTCTAGAGGGAAATCTTGCAATAAGATTATCTCCTTCTAAGCTGACACTATTTCTTCTTATTATTTTTCCTTCAGAATTAATTTCTTTTGCTTGTTTATGGAAATCAAGCATTATTTGTTCTGGTATCGTTACTTCATGTTCTTGATATTTCCTAGGAGGTATGTATTGTGCTAATTCCTCAAAATTTTTATGTATTATTATGTTATCAGTTATTTTTCTTAAATTGTGATGATGGCTAGTACTAAAAGCAAAAATTGATTTTATGCTTATACTAATAGCCTTACTTCTTCGTAACATCTTTAAATTTCCAATTCTATAGTATAGATTGAAACTTTGATCAATATTTTCATCACTCAATGATATGGTATAATTTGGTTTTACTGTAAA